AAGGAAAGGAAAGGAAAGGAAGAAACAGGGTTTTAACATCAACAATTCCCAAGGTTCATAATCATGGAGACAAAGTGGAGTCCTTGGTAATCACTTAGGGCATCCAGTGAAGAGCCACAAAGGATCACAGCTTTACAGATGGGCTGAATTATCCCTTGAGTAAAAGCTACTTTAGATGTCCCCAAGTAAAGCTAAAGAAAAAAAAATGAAAAAACCTAAAATGCTCCAAAGGGATCAAGTGAACCCACAACTAATTTAAATACCAGCCACTATTTATTAAAAAAACTTTTTTTTTAAATCTTTACTGATTTTTGAGAGAGAGAGGGAGAGACAGAACACAAGCAGGGGAGAGGCAGAGAGAGAGGGAGATACAGAATGCGGAGCAGGCTCCAGGCTCTGAGCTGTCAGTGCAGAGCCTGATGTAGGGTGTGAACTCACAAACCATGAACCCACTACCTGAGCTGAAGTCTGAGTCTTAACCGACTGAGTTATCCAGGTGCCACTACTAGCCACTCTTTAAAGGAAGATAACAAAACCCATATAGTCAACAATGTAAGCACTGACAATGTTCCACATTCAATCAAAACTTACTAGAGATGACATTTAGAAAATGTGACACGAAGGAAAGAGTCAATAGAAAACGAATCCAGAAATGATAAGAGAACAAGGACGGAGATATTAGAACAAAGACAATGATCAAAAAAAATTTAATGGAAATTCAAAGTATGAGAAAAATAAAAAATATGAAAAAGAATGACATGGAACTTGCAGTGATGGCAAATTCAATACCTAAAACACAAATTTCTACCTGGAAAGAAGTAACAGCATATTAAAAATTGCAAAAAAAAAAAAAAAATTCAGTGACTTTAAGACACAGCACTTGACTATAAAACAAAGCCTAAAATAATAAAGAGTTTCAACAGAAAAACATGGGATCAACCAGGTATAACTGGAGTACTGAAAGGAAATAACAGGAAAAAAAGTGCAGGAAATAGGGGAAAAAATGCAGAAATAATGACCAGAATTTTCCAAGCTGTCAACCATAAATTCGATACACAGATCCTCAATAAAAAGCCTTAAGTGCATTGAGATATGTATGTAGCACACCAAGGTATATTATAAATAAGTTGGTGAAAAAAATAAAAAACAAAAAGGAAATGTTAAAAGCACCCAGAGAAAAAGTCAT